TGTTTTTTTTTTTCCTATGTGGGCCTTTTTTTTTCTGGCTACAGGCATTTTCAGTTGCTTCATATACATGTGAAAACTGGACAATGAATAAGGAAAACCAGAGAAGACCTGGTGCATTTGGATTATGGTTTGGTGAAGAATACTGGAAGTACCTTAAACTGCCAGAAGAATAAACAAATCTATCTTGGAAAAAGAATAGCCAAAATGCTGCTTAGAAGTGAGGATATGTTATCAGGAGGGGTCAGTTCATGGGAAAGGACAACTTGCTTGACAGATTAGAGGGTCAGTGAAAAAGAGGTTGTCCCTCAGCAAGATGGATGGACAGAGTGGTTGCAACAATGGACTCAAACAGAACAATTAGGAGAATGGTGTAGGATCAGGCAGTTTCCTTCTGTTGTACTTGGGGTTGTTATGTGTCAGGACTGACTCCATGACACTTAATTGAGTTTGGTTCGAAATTTTACATAACATTAAAGGCAAGTTGTTGTTGTTGTTAAGTGCCATCGAGTCGGTTCTGATTCATAGCGACCCTGTACAGGGTTTCCGAGACTATAAATCTTTATGGGAACAGAAAGCCTCATCTTTCTCCTGCGGAACAGCTGGTAGTTTCGTACTGCTGACCGTGAGGTTAGCATCCCATCTCGTAACCACTACGCTACCAGAGCTCCTAAAGGCAAGTAGGAGTGGTCTGTAAACCAGATGTTTGTAACCTGATGATTGTCTGTATATCTCCCTAGGATTGCTTAGCAGTGATAGTTTCTCAGGCTTTCTTTGTTTTTGATGACCTTGACATTTTTGAGGAGTTGTTGTTGTTGTTAAGTGCCATTGAGTCAGTTCTGACCCATAGCGACCCTGTACAGGGTTTCCGAGGGTGTAAATCTTTACGGGAGTAGAAAACCTCATCTTTCTCCCGCGGAGCAGCTGGTAGTTTCGAACCGCTGACCTTAAGGTTCACAGCCCGATTCGTAACCCCTACGTATTTTGTGGCATGCCCCTCAGGATTTGTCTGATGATTTTTTCATGATTTTCCATGGAGCTATGGCTTTCTGGAGGAAAACTATAGGGTAAAGTACTATTGTATGCCATCTTATCAAGGGTGCATACCGTTAACCTAACTAATCACTGTGGTTGTTGACCTTGGTCACCTGGGTGATGATGTTTGCTCAAATTATGCCACTGTAAAGTTACTCCCAAGGAGCTCTGGTAGCGTAGTGGTTATGAGTCGGGCTGCCAACCTCAAGGTCAGCAGTTCGAAACTACCAGTGGTTCTGTGGGAGAAAGATGAGGCATTCTGCTTCCTGTAAAGATTTACAGCCTCGGAAACACTGTGCAGGGTCACTATGAGTCGGAACCAACTCCACCGTGCTTAGCAACAACAACAACAAAGTTGTTACTGCTTTCCATACTGTGTGCAGCCCACATTCAGAAACATACTTTCAGATTGGCTATTAGTTCTAATTGATCACCTCAGCCCTTGATGGTTTGGCACATGCATCTAGAGCTGATAATTCTGAGTACAATTTTTCTGAACAGATTTAATTCTTCATACAAATCAGTTTGGTGTTAGTAATGTAGATTTATACAACGTCATTTTAATGATTTCTATGCCATTTTCTATAAGTTGTGGATATTATACAAGAAATCAAAAGTGGCTTCATGACTTGCACATAGTTCAAAGTATCATTACAAGGAAAAATTACATTTTTTTTTTTTTTCATCAACAGTTGGGTTTATTTCAACAGTAAATTTGAAACTCTTGCCGTGGGCAAGGGTACTCTACCAGTAATCATATCAGGAATAGACAATTTTCTACATTGTCAAATATATAGAAGTTCATTTTGACTTTCTTCAACACTGGTCAGCAAGCAGATTCAGTCTATATTTGCTTTTATCAATCTACTGAGTTAAATTAAGTTTCTTCTTCAGAGACACTGGCATCTCAGGTGGAGGACTACGAGGGAGTCTAAAGTAGACCTTTACGGAGTCATAGATGAACCACTGTAGTGCAGTCAGAGTGCCATTCATGATGATATGGGCAAAGAGTCCTTTCCAGACACCTTTAAATCCAAGTCTCTGGAGAACCTGAGAAGCACTGCTACCTTTCTCTTTATTCAACACAGACACCACAGAGTCAGCAGGGTGAGAAACAATTGCACAGAAGACTCCAGCTATATAACCGGCCACAAAGGTTACAACAAGCTGTTGTCCCTTTGAACATTCACTTCGGGGCTTGGGAACCACAAACTTGTACAAAGCTTCAACAGTACGTTCAAAACAGGCAAACTTCATCATGGTGTATGGGATCTGCCTCATCCAGAAAGGGAGCAACCCCCTTGTAGAATGCATTTAAGCCTTCTTCCTTAAACATTTTGGGAACTGCATCCCTCAAAGTGTTGGCATAACCTGGCTGAGTTTGAATTCGAACCTTAGCAGCTTCCATAGGAGCCAGGGCTATGTCAGCAAAGAATTCAGCACTGGCAGAGGAAGCCAAATACAGCGATGTGCGCCAGAGATAGGTATTCTCCTCTCCAAGCATGTTGCTATACAAGACTTTGAAGACTTCATAAAAGCCAAACTTACAAAGTCCTTGCATAGAGTAGCCAATGAAAGTTGGAGCCCGCCCTTTAGCCAAACCACGAACACCATCCTCTTTAAGTGTAACGGAGAATCCATTAAATATGCCCTTGTATTTCTGGGGGTCCACCTGCATACTAAATCCAGAGGAACGACAGCAGTGTGTGTCAGACCACAACTTAAGACCCCACCAAAGCCACACAGTGCATAAAACTTCATGGAGCCATATTCACAACTGTACTTTT